ATCAGCCCGGCTCTGAGGTCCACCCAGCGGATACCTTGGAGTCTTTCCCTTGCGGTAAAACAGCGACTCACCTACGTCCAAAACCGAGGTTAAGAATGCGCTACGCCATTAACCACTCCCTCGTACGTATTTTATGTCTGATAATTGATTAAGCACACAGGAACATACATCATAAAACAAGCTCCAATTTTTATATATTTTGATGTACGGGCTTCTAAAGCGATAACGGGAAATATACAAGTATATCCTGTATGTATTGCTTTTATATAATTTTCACCATGCATAACTTGAAGCTTTCGCCGGCGACTAAATGCGATAAAATCTTCTCGGGCAACGAACCACGTCAATTATGAACGGGAGTCCATGTTTCCAACGACCCCCTCTGTCTCCATCATCAGGAAATATGTCGCCCGATGTTATTTAGATATTTTTCTTTGTCCAATCAATCGGCCTGTCGTACTAAAGTTTCATTGCAAAAAAAATACATTAACATACATCTCATTATGCTACGGCCACAATTATAAAATTCCAACAATTTGTATGTCAACCGGAAACTGAAACTTCTGATGACTGCGATATCGACTATTAGACGTTAACCTGCCTGCGATTATGTCAACCGGAAACTGAAATGCAAATGACTGCAATGTCGACTATTAGACGTTAACCTGCCTGCGATTTAACCAAGCAAAAATAAAAATAAAAAAAAGCAGCTAAGAGAAAAGTTCTTTTGAAAGTCTGCTGTTGCGTTTTGCTGGAGATCAATAAATTACCAGCCACAGTGCACGGTGTGGAGTAACTGCTTGTAGTGCGTGCCGATATGTGTTCTTTTATGTTTTGTAGCGGCCAATTGGTAGAACAATGTGACCATGACCGGTCACAGTTCCACGAACCGGTAGTCACCTCACACTTCCCACCCGCTCTCATTCTGTAACCATGGGTTTCTCGATTTTCTCCAGACCTGGGACCACATTCGTGCGCATTTTTCAGTAACAAAGCACCTCTGCGCAGGCGTAGATCTTGTTGCTGTAATATTGGTTGGTTCCTGAACGTTTCGAGGCCCCAGTTTTTCAGCGAACGTCAAAGAATGTTGCGTTTCGCTACCGGGAACAAGTGTGGACGTGCTGGAGCAGCGAACAGCTGGTAAATCACAAACGCCACAGTTGTGCGCCTTAACGTCCTCGCTTGAACCTCGTAATGCGTTACGCTCTTACGATACGGGTACGAAGATCATACATAGGGGAAATTTATTGAAACGCCACAGGAATTTATTAGGAATGGTGTTAAATTAGGCCTACTCTTGCAAACAGGTTCACATACTCTACGGGAAGTCTAATGGTAACTGTTAAGATGAAAAGAACGCATTTGTCACTAATCAGCGACTTTACTCGGTCACAGAGGAAATAACTTTCAGAAATGTGCAATAGTATTAATCTCCTCAAGTGGTTTTCCTAATGATACTTGGTGAGTAATACAAACGAAGATTCTTCTCATAGCGTAATTTTTTCCAGCATCCTACTTCCTTCCTTTAAATTAAAATATTATTATTTCACACACACACACGACCTATTAAAAAGGCTCTCTTCTGGGGTGTAGCATAATTTAACCTGGTAGGTACTGACCGACGTTTCAGAGGTGTCGTGAGAACCTCAGATCACAAACACAAACTTTGAAGTCTGACGGTAGCTGTTATCTAGAATAAACACGTGTTAAATTGTACATCTGTCACCGATATATCAATGTTTTTACTAATAACTTTGATAATATTCTACTTACAAACACATTCTGATTCCGTATAAACAATGATGTTGTACGTTACAGAATTTCATGAAAATAAATCCTGCATCTTCCGCCAATCCTGTACAGTCGCCATACGACTTGGCGCCTCCATTTCCCCCCCCCCTTCCCTGCCCCCAGGTACACATGGAGGTCGACCTGTAGGCGTAAGAAAATAACATACCTACATGAAACTAGCCCACCTACAGGCACTTGCCTAACCAGTCCAACTCATGAAAGCAAGATCAGACATACAAAGTCGTATTACAAAACTAATACGATGTAACTGCGGTCTAAAGAGCCTCAGATACGCCATGCTATTATTTCAGACAACTACTGTTATTTTACGTTAGCTCAAAGTAATTGGTTAGTGCTGGATGGCAAGGATTCAAAACCCAGTAGGCGCACTAACTCTTATCTTCGCCACTACATCCAAACGGTTTTGCGGTCCATCCAGCCTCCTACCCAAAGGGCTCCGGGTGATGGTGGGATGGGATTTGCTCGGGGTTAAAGAGGCAAGGCCCCTGTAATACGTCTTCATTCCTTTGGTTCCTAATACCTTTTGCCTACAGCGATTTAATACTCCTCTGTGATACGTAATCAAGTGTTTATATTTTTCTGCTGGTAATCGAATCTCGACCTGAACACCAAAAACTATCACAACTATAGCGCAATTTCTATTGTTTCCATTCAGTCCCTATAAGCGATACTACAAAAGACTCTTAGTAGTCACAGTCGATTTCTACCACATCCTTTCCGTGTCTTACGTTAAGCGTTTAGCCTGAGTAGGCGTCATCCAGCAGATGGAAGACATAAGCCGACGACTGAAATTCGTGGGGGAGATGCACGAAGCCTGGATGTATCCAAGCCCAAATACTTTAACGGTATTATTATCTGGTTGCATATTATCAGAGATGAAGTTTCCAGAAAAAGGTGCCCCGCAAATTTTAATAAGTCATAAATATTAAAAGAATAAAAATATTCACTACTTAAGATTATCAACAGGGTACAAAGTTGCTCGGTTACCGGACTGAAGTATGGCAATCACACCACTAGGACTGAGAAACTAATTTAAATTATAAAAAGCTTAGCATAACGTGTTTCGGGATTTGATCCAGGGATTTCAGCATGATTATATGACGCTTCGGAGCGCAACCCAACGTTTTGAAAAGAAACGTCATTTGCATTTATGAGTGACGGAAGCACAGATTTCACAAATCACTACATCGGCTCCGGTTTTTGAAGAGTTAAATTAAAACCAGAGTACATATTACATTAATCGTGGGCTGACAGCTGCGACGGTCTGTATGCTGTGCTCGTGACAGATATGAACTTCAGAGTGGGTTATATTAATGGCACAAGCCAACACGAGTTGGTTCCAATAAATTCGTATGCGTGTTTTCAAATCTACAAAGGTGCTCAGATTATTAACATGCACATCAGCTATGATAGTTAAATAACCGGATTTGTTTTTCGATGTAGCGAGTAGTGAAACTGATGAGTTTGCCCGTGTCGGAACATGTGACTACATGATTTAGCAATTTTATATTAAATAGTAGTTGCGATTCAGTTTTCACTGTGGTTGCAGGAAGTGTTTTTTTTTATCAGCAAACTCATTTGTCAAAAGCACAAAGAAAGAGATTTGTGAGATTGGTGGAAGCAGACGGCTGAAGAGATTTCGGTCTTGCAGAACGATCCGTAACAATCTGCACAATCTCGAATTAAAAATTCGACTACGGAAAAAGCTCGAATGTCAAACTCAAAGACCAAAACCACGTTGATACATTTTTCTTGGTGTTAAAGACCACAACCATCAAATATTCTTTCCTTCAGAGCAAACAGTCAACCTAGAATTCTGTTTTTAGGTTTTGGAAAGTTTATGGAAGTGAATTAACCGAAGAAGGCCAGTTCTTTGCCTGTCTATTACAGTTAGCCCAGAGCAATCCCCTTAAAGAGATTTTTAGCTAAAATGATAAAGAAAAATGTGCTGAATATCCACCTTAGTCACCCGAAATTTTTGTATTATCTTAAAACTAAAAATATCCATGAATGAGCTCATTTTTAATAACTTCAAGGCATTCAAACGTAACATACTTCGAAAGCGCTCCTCACCCACCTGAGCTGCAGGCAATGCGAGCAGCGTAAATCTTTACCCCCAACTCCTTCCGTGCCAAAAATGCGGTTCTGAACTTCACCATTACTAGGCGTTCTTCACGTTCTGGCGTGGGCCGTTTGTGAAACGTCAGTGTACTTCAAAGAACATTTCAATTATTATCATCATCATCATCACTGCAACCATGACCACCAAAATGGGTTCCAGATGCATGAGCCCTGGTTATGGTTCGCATTACAACGTACAACAAACTCAAAGCCCGGACTTCCAGATTCCACCACCAGGGAGAATGTTACTGAAGCTGGGGTAGAATTCTGGATGTGGTATGAAGGGACAGAAAATGACACGACGCACGTGCAACAGGGGCGGTAACCCCTCAAGGGGGCTACAGACTAGGGAGCATATATCTCTGCAGGAAAGCATATTTACATGACTGTCACACGCATGTATCACATTATCTGATGCGTAACTTAGCAACGAACATCTGTTGAACAAAATACGACTCGATAAACGCACGGAGTAACATAGGTTCAGCACACAAGTAACAGACCTACGATCTGCACAAGCGAACGGTAAACAACTAAAAAACACTCAGCCTCTCTCGGCACTGCATTACTGATCGAAGGACTTCAAATTACAGTACTGATCCGCATGGTTGATTTAACCCTGTCCACGCTACGATGGGGTATCTCGCTTAAAGTACATTCATCCTTGCGCCTGAATTTATGTTATATCAGAGAATAACATCGAAAAAATGTATTGCGATACGTCTTAGCAGTTCGTGAATTATTCAACAAAAATCAGGCATACAAATTGACATAAAATACAAGCCTACTACTACAAAAACATTCTAAATAAAAAAAAATCATAATTGAAAATATGTCATTTCGCTTCATCTAAACATATCGCAAGCACATATAATTTTAGACTGTTCAACAACGAATTCTGAAGGTCGTTGTTAATATAGCGTAAAATAAAGTTACTGTTTCCATCATAAGGACTCTAATGATGGAGGCAGCAAGGACCTCTGAAACGTCGGTAAACTTCTACCAGACTACACGGTGCAACAACCCAGGAGACAGTCATCTTCTTATCCTTATTTCTGAGCACCATACGCCAATATGGCGGCAAGCGTTATAATGCTACTTGAGTTCCTGGTCGTTGAACATAAATTATGAACAACTTATACCCCCTGTGGGAAATTTTCTTACTCTGTAACTCTGTCTTTAATCTACTTACGGCCTCGAAAGGGGCTGGTAAGGTAATTTCAAACAACTCTTGTATACATCATATACATCGCACAGCATCACTTGCAGATTGCTGTGTTTCAGAGAACGAGAAGCAAATTATAACACAATTTCAAGAGCACGGCAAATTAAAACGTAACACGAGCTAACGACTACATAAAAAAGAAAGAGCAATAAACATTTAAAATGGAGAAATGTGGCGGAAAGCATAAACAGGTGAGAGAAAAATCGTGGAGTTGTCGTATATAATGGCCTTTGCCAAACGTTGCTGGCTTAACTGGAGACTGAGCTACAAATGAAAGACACAGCTTACTGGAACCCACCACCTCACCAACTTCCCTCTTTGCTAGTCTACTCACGAAGACTGCGACTTTAAGTGCGTCGTTTGGTGGATTTAGACGCTCTGTGTTGATGTAAAAGTAAAATTTATCCCACTATACGCCATGTAGGCGCTTGGGGCCGTCGGGGATCGAGCCCCGGTCGTCCAGCCCGTAGCTAGTCACTATACTGACTTGAGCTATCCCGGCTCATTCTGTGTTGATATACATGTTTAAAATATCAAATTGCATCGTGAAAAGATGAGAAGAAAAAAATACCCGACTTTTCAAAATTATACGTCATAAAATAACCGCTTAAACCGGACAGCGATTTTGTGAATGGAATTAAATAAAGTCAATTTATGATTTTCCGTCTTCGTTTCTGATACCCCTAAAAAAACATAAAAGAATTTGAGCTCTTCCCCCTTTCTTTGAAGCCATACAATTCTAGAGATGGAATTTATTTCTACAACACATCCCCTATTGTTACAACCTTTCTTACACGATCTAATAAATGACTCTACCCTATTTTTTGTGCAGCTGACGGTTACTCAGCTCTTTTTCACAAGAATCAGGCACTTGTTTTATCCCAAGCCAGTTTAATCCGTCAACAACTTCACACACAATTTATCTCACATTTACTTTGATATTAACCTCTCACCCACGCGGTCATTTATCGGGACGTTTTCAGACCAAAGTTTTGTAAACTTTTTTTATTCCCCATGCTATCTTTATGTATTTAATATGATTATAAACATTAGGGGAAGAACACAATTTCCCAAGTTCGTATTATGTAGCTGGTACCTCTCTTCTCGATTTTTGCGCCGTGTATTCTGTCATCTGCATTAACAATTGCCTTAAAGAAAAGGCGACTTTCTTCACAACGCATGGGATCACTAATCTTAAAAACCTGAAACTACCACTACAACATTTTTATTAGGTATACATGCATTCGGCATGGCAGTACATGTGCATCGACGATGGGAAATGCAGGGCACAAACGCGAGAATATAATAAAAATCTGAGCAGGAAACATTTATTCTGTTGCAATTAATGGAATGTTCCACCGCCCTCGTTCCCCTGTTGTCACAGCACCCTGCCACCCGATTAAGACCTTTCCTGCAGTAGACATGTCACGGTCCCACGTGCCTGTTACATTCTACAAATGACCTGCCAAGCGTCTGAAGATCTGGTTACACTCTCCAGTCATCACAAACCCGCTGTTATATCACGTGTCACCCCAATTCACTACGTTCAACAAATAATGTCCTGA